GCTAATATCATTATTAAAGTTTCGTTGCTTATTTATACCACGTTTGAATACTCTACCTTAGCTTTGTGTACCACGAAGCTATTCGCATAGAACACTACTTTCTCTAATATTGATGACTCTCCGTTATTATTAAGAATATAAGCCATTGATTTATTAATCCGTGATGCTGTACTGGTAGGTATTGGAGCGGAAATGGTAATTTTTTCAAATCCGGGCTATGGGTTATCCAGGATAATCATGGATACGTCCATCATGAAATGTATGTTATATAAGAACTTTATTTACGTGTAAGTGTTTGATTTTCGTGTGTGGCGAAAATTAAATATTTCTGGGCAGTTCCACCTACTCTGAGATAACATGGTAATAAACCTTTGGCTAGATTGATAAACTTCTTTGACCTGCAAGTAACAGAGTAAGCAGATTAAGCAAGTCTCTTTGGGGATTCTTTTATTTCCCGTAGTATGCCCGTTTTCATAATTCTGTCTAATCCGGGATTTGAGGGCCACGAATAACATTAAATAAAGAAACAAAATAAATATTTACTTACGTTATATCATTGTGATTGAAATGATGAATTACCCTCTGTATATCTATGGTAACGCCGACAAATCTTGAATCTATAGTATGTACAGGTTTTAATGAAGACACATTCACGGTGATATCGACTGAAAATACCCAATCATGAAAGAAAGTCCAAAGGAAGACAAGAACAATCATTCGCTGCATGACTAAACTTTGAAAAATGTTTTTTAATAACACAGATAATGGCAATTGTATAAATCAGACACATAGGGGGCACCTGCAAGGATATATTTGTGTTTGCACAGTAATCTAGCTCTAAAGTAGTTTAAGGGTCACAATAAAGTGTTGAATTGGGTTAATCTGAATAAAGAAACCATGTTTTATTATCTGTTATAATCTTATATGAATTGACTGGGCTACATCTTTTACTACTGAGTTAGGTGGGGTGGGTGTACGCTGATAATCCTCAGGAGTAAACTTGAATAAAAATAAGCATTTTTATTATCTGTTATAATTTAATATGAATGGCGGGGGGGCGCTGAATAATCCTCTTGACATCACTGTTTTTTAAGAACAGCAACACCAAAACCACTGGCCAATTAGAAACTAAAGTATTTTTCAAAGGAACCGATAAACATTAATTGCTGTTTAAAAGCTCCTTTCACCCAAAAATACGTTCTCTGGTATCATTAAATCTCAGATTCTCCGTTTCCATAGGACAGCAAACTATGAGAAAGGGGATACTCCAAACGCTATCTCCGACGTATAAAAACTAATACTCTAGCTGAACTTGCCGCCAAAGAAACAAACAATGAGCAATTAGCAGTTAAAACCAAACCTTGTGGCCACTCCAGATGTCAAACATGCAAAATCATAAACATACCCGACCAGTTCCATTACCAAACATCTGGCACACAATTACCAATATTAGATCAACTTTCATGCAAAATAATTTATCTAATTTTATGTAGACAATGTGACAAACACTAAGTAGGGGAGACCCAAAATGCAAATGAAATGAAATAGGGCTAATGAACACCAGTTCAGCTCTGAACGTCGGTCTTATTACACTCGACCTCTACGTTCAGGGACTGTGCTATTGAATCCTTGTCGAAAATCTAATCGCTTCCCAGTCAATTTTACTGGGCAACTTTTTACTGCTAAACGGTCGCGTGTCAGTCCCTGTAAACGCCTCAACAATATAGCTTAACATTTTAGTGAGAAAATATGACCTTGCTTACGAAATTAAGGTAAACTCGAATATCTGGAATGCACTCAGAATTCACTTCGAATGTCCAGGAATACACCAGGAATTTTCATTCTGACGGAAAATATTAACATGTTTTAATTGGGATGGCCGAATGAATATGGTTGTAACTGAAATATGTTTAGGAAGCAATGTAATCTTTTTATTATAATGCAGTGCCAGATTATGAAGTTTGCTGTGGATTTAGAATAAGCTCACCCCCTAACTACATATTAAATAAATACGTTATCGGTAGCGTTCGACCTTCACATTGACCAATATAGAGAATAGTTCTCAAATCGTTTTAGAAATGACACTGATGATAAGAGAAGGAGTCTCTTATCAATACACAAAGTTTTTAAGTTTTATTTTTTCGAAGTAGAGATATAAATTCTATGGTTGTACTATAATAATGACGAAAATCAACAGAAGATTTGGTTGTTCTGAAATGTTTAACATGTTTAGTTTAATGAATACTCATATTTTTGTGGTTTTATTATTTGCCTCCCGTTTGTTCTTAACCTCGGGTGAATATATAATAGAGCTCTCGGGAAGTAAACGAATACAGACTGTAAGCCCACAGTTCTGTAGTTTTACTCTGGATACGATCGAAATGACCAAAAACAGTGATAAATATGATTTTAAGTAAGTACATGTAATACAATTGTTAAAGTTAATTTATATAGTCTACGGGCACTATAAACCAAGACTCTTTACTAAGGTATCTCACCTGTCGTTTTTTACTCAATTCGCTGGACACATTTCTTCATTTCTCTATCTGTTATTAGCGATTGTAACACCGAATCCGGTACATATTAGTAATATTGCTTTTATTTTGACTGTCTTGATATTCTTTGACACGTTTCTTCATTTCTGTCTGTTATTAGTGAATCCTACATCCAATCCAGTATAAACATTAGTAATTTTGTCGTCTTCAATCATGTTAAACTCAATTTCATTTTAATTCAGTTGATATAGAATGATATATAGAAGGCCTAATCTGGGACACACAGATTAGAATAAATAACAGAGATTAAAGACAAGTAAAGTTACACCATTACCCAGTATGAGTCGTTTCATACCCCAATAATTAATTGTAGCACCATGGGTCTTTATCTAACATGGAAAGCTGACATAGCTCAAAACTGGTCGCCACATCCTACGTATAATCCATGTATTCTTTTCTTACTACCCACCTATCTTAATTAGCCTTGTGATCGTATTTTCACTTGTCGTCTTGGCTTTCTCTTCACGTTGTGTCATTGCTTCTTACCGTCTCTGTAGTTTAGACGTTTGTCTTACCAGTTCGTTTTTACATTTTATATATCAAGCTAGATACATAAGATACAAGCATAGTAAATAAAGAGTCGTTAATTTTAGTATTTCCGGGAAAAACTATACCCATATCCCTAGATTTAATACATGGGATCTTAACATAACCTTACCAAACCTTTTATTCAAAAGTTAAATTACCATAATTTTGAAACTTGGACGAAGGGTCTCAAAATTATATTAGCTCTATTTAGCTACACGGACGACACAAAAACACAAATGCTAGCAATCTATATACCTTTTATTCAAAAGTTAAACTACCATAATTTTGAATCTTGGAATATATTATATTAGCTCTACTGAGCTAAACACACATATATTAACGAATTAAGTAGAAAAAGCCAGCCATACAGATTATGGGTTGACCACGCATACTCCTATTTTGGTCTATGCCATTCCACTGAACCCGGAGACATCACAAATTCCTTATGCCGTTTCCTTATCATTATTTCGTAGTTATACTAAAACAAATATGTTTTTAAGCTACCCCCTATAAATTCCAATTTAACAATACTTGCTATAGATCATGATAATATGCATACCTAGCTAGTGATATTATATTGTTTATAAACCTGTGTATAAAATCTTAATAATGGCTATATTTTATTCTCTATACAGTTGAATTTTAAACATTTAATTTGTAATCTGATTTTAATCTTACACTAATATTATTTGATCTGTTAAAAATACATTATGGGAGATTAGATAAAGAGCTGACAGTTCTCACTATAATAGTTAAAACACGATAATGTAAAAGGAATTTGCTAAACATTTCAGTCACATTGATCTACTCTGAACCGAGAATTTAGCGACTGAATTTTGGGCCTAGCCTCGATCATCATTACTAAAGTCGGTACGATAAAATACATAGTCTTGATTATCCATTTCTTGATTTAATCATGAATGAGAGATGGGGAGCAGATCGGATCCTAATCCAGTAAATATCGCAGGCTAGCGATGACATCGAGAGATAATTATGGTCTGGATAAGTTAATTAATGTCGATAACATTTCAGGCCTAAAGAAAGACCCGCAATAGGCAGATTTAGCTCTTGTATAATGTATGTTTAAGCAACTTTACATGTCTAATTTTTCAGAAAAATTGTATTTACCTATTTTTGCGAAAATTTCCACCCAAACAAATTTTTTTTCTTCCACCAGATTTCTTCTTTTTCCACCAGAATTTTTCCTGTTGCTGGGTTGTACGGGTTTTCTTATCTTCCAAAGTCGCTGCTTACCCTTAAGGTCGAAACTTAATCACGGCGACCAAATCAAATACGTAGCAAAATGGGTCTTTGTCTGACATGGAGCGCGGACATAGCTCAAAACCGGTTGCCACATCCTACGTATGACCCATGCATTCTTGTCATACTACATGTCTTAATAAGCCTTGTGATTGTTAGTATTTTCACTTCTCTGTGCTTCCTCTTCACGTTCTGTAATTGCTTCTTTCTATCTCAGTAGTTAAGGCGTTTGTCTTACCAGGAATAACAATGCATCAGTTCGTTTTTACATTTATTATTCCAAGCTGGATGCATAGATATAAGCATAGTAGATTACAATAAAGTCATTCTCTCAAACCCAATCCAGCCAACCTGCTGGAAGAGATTGCTACATCTTCTCCTTCTCACTCAAATTCAAGCGGCTGTCTGGAATATGCTTATATGGTCTTGTAGCTTTTGGTTTTGGACCTTCAATTATCTAATTGGTCAATTAATTATAAAGATTGGTTAATTAGTCTAATGACGTCGAAAACCACCCTTATATGGATAGAGGAAACTTGCAGTAGAAATTCCACACGCGATATCTGTTGTCAACCTAGAATTGAATGTTTAGCAAATAATAACTCTTTTTATGTATCAATCTGTCACTCATTTTGATTAAAATGCATACGAGACAATATGACTTCAATGTGTGAATCTAATAATGAGCCAAATATATTAATTAATACAATGCAACTAATCTAAAGAACAAAGAGCAAAAATTTTAGCAATCTTGCTACATAAAGAGATAATTTGGATGAGTTATCCCAAAACTAAATATTATGTGATTTGTAATTGGAAACGACGCGGGAGGGGAGGGGGGAATACAAAGACGTTAACGTGATTTGTCACTGTTTATCTTTCCCGACCGTTCCATGGCCGATCAATAGTCTTCGCAGTGTATCGTTTGAAAAATCAGTTGACGTTTCGAAGTAAACGGAATTCAAAATGTGAGACATAATAAAACTCTTTCACTATTGCTTGAGATTTTTCGTTGATGACAAAATATCAATTTAATTTAATTTGATTTGAGATTTTGCATGGAAAAAGTGTCGATTGAACTTTATTTGATTTGTTGGTCTATGTTTGTTACACAGTAGCGATGTAAATGATTTTGTGTTCCACTGTCGACATTATAAGCGAGAACCGAAATTAAGATGAGCGAAAAACGACTTCCCTAAATGCCACGGTCTATATTAACCCACTTCAAGAAGTTTAACTGCTTTAATATAATATTTGGTTATTTTCTAGTTCAGTTAGATTGAAGAATTTAGCGAAGGCATTGGGGCCATCTTATCTAAGAGTAAGCGGAACTGCTGTCGATTATACTTTATTTGATGAAGTGAAGTCGGGTAACCGTATATTTAAAAGTAAGTTGAATAACTATCTTTGTATAACACAGTATTATTTGTGATTATTTTGAATAAAAGTGGGTTATAAAAAGAAATGTGGTTTAATAACGATGTATATACATATGGATTCAAGGAGAAATCTAGTCGATGCAGATTTTTTTTTTTTTTTTTTCAGTTTGTATTAATTGAAAATTTAACTGTCGTCTCCACTGAAAACAAGCATAATCAAAATAATCATTCACATATAGGTGGACATTTTGTTTTATAAGCAGTGACTGACAACAACATAGTCTGTTTGTTAAAGGTCAAATAAGCTGTACTTCGGACTGAGCACTGTGGAAAAGGTAGTCCAAAATTAGCAAGCAAATCAACGTCTGTAGAGGTTTTCCTTATATATAACCACAATAAATGCCCAGATCGGACCAATTCAACAATGTATAGTTTATGTTTACCTTATATTTCGATTTAATTGATTTCTGTGACAGAAGAAACATTTGATGGTTTAAACAATCTAGTTAAAGAGGCTGGATGGGGTTTAATTTTTGGAGTAAATCTACAGCACCGGACGAACGGACGATGGGATCCTTCAAACGCACTAAAGTTATTTCAGTACACGATTGAAAAGGGATACCATGTTGCCGGTTGGGAACTGGGAAATGGCAAGTGTAACAAGTATATTTTGTTTATAATACTCCAATAGTATATCATCATACACGGCAAAATATAAACATTTGAACAATAGGATGAAAATGTAAATGTAAGGTCCTTGCAGACAGGTGCTGAAAAAAAGATAGTGTGCTTAAGGGTAAACTATTAAATCTTGCCTCCTTCAACTTATTCCCTAGATTTGGAAATTTCGTGTACTTTTATTGCCAACATGCGTGTACTTATATTTTAGAAACCTGTGGCAAATCTATCAAAAGTTAACCGAATATTTGTATTTTACAAACATATATGTGACATATCTATAGCTAAAGCTAATTGAGTAACCAATTTCGACCCTGTATGGCGGAGGTTTCATATTTTATGTATTGTTTATGTAATTGCATATATCAAAATATTATAATATCAGTTTCCTAGTTGTTACGGGTATTGAAATATTACAGTTTATAATTTAAGATTTTAAAAGTAAACCTGTGATAAAATGAGTTTCATTTAAGGATGCATTTTGTGTGATTTAGATAAAGAGGTCTTTCTTCCTATAGTAGTTCAAATATAGATAATGATTATATTAATACATTTATTCGAATTACTCTATTCTGAGCGGGTATTTGAAGTTTTGACAAGATGTAGCGTATAGCTGGTTTATTATCGTCACAACGGTACTTGTCAATCGAGACTAAGTCTTGGTTATCAATTTTGTAGTTAAATTTGTAAATCACGCCATTTAACTGTACTAAGCCATTTGAATATCGGCCATCCTATGGCCTAAAGTGATGACAGACTTGTCACGTAAAAACATTCTAAATAATAGTTAATTTAACATTTCAAGCCCAAATGAAGACTTGCAATTAATAGACAGATTTAGTTTTTTCATAATGAATCTTTAATATCAAGATCATTATATTCTTCTTAAATATGGATTTAATTATATTCCATTCTTGTTTTGAAACGACAACTTCTTAGAGAAAGGATGCCGCTTCGGGAATATAACCCGATTAATCATCACACTTCGACAACAACCTTTGTCTACCTCAATCAGCTGCTGATAAACAATAAGCTTATACTTATACATTAGATAATGAAATATAAGCCGCAAACAAAATCGGGATGAAAGGACGGATTTCAGAAAATAAAACAATAGCGTTTCTGATGTATGCTATAGAATAATAATTATATACCAAGAACTACAAAGAACCAAGTCAAAACACAAATGTTATTAAATCCGAGAAATTCCAAATTAGCAAAAGCCACAACTTCTATAATAGGATGATGTTTGTACAAAGTTTCATGAAGATATCTTGAACATTTTATGATATACACCCCCCCCCCCCCCACGAAATAAAATTGTACACCAAACACTAAGTCAAATTTGTTTAAATGAAAACACAAATAATATAAATCCAAGAAATTCCTTATGTGCAAACGACACACATACTGTTATAGGTTTATGCGTGTACAAAGTTTCATAAAGATCTCTTTAACGGTTTGGGAGATAAGCTCCGGAAACAAAATTGCACAGCAAAATCTAAGTCAAATAAAACACAAACAATATTAAATGTGAGAAATTCCAAATTAGCAAATGGTACAACTAATATAATAGATTGAGATGTGTACCAAGTTTCATAAAGATATCTTGAATAGTATATGAGATATGATTAGGGAACAAAATTGTACACCAAAAACTTTATGAGATACGCTCCGGAAACGAAATAGGGAAGGACGGACCCCATTTCCATATCCCTCCCTCCATGAAGGGCTCTTCATTATTCACGAAGGGATATTACCACTTTTCTCTCACGAAGGGATATTACCACTTTTCTCTGTACGTTTGGGTTCAGATAGTCAAACAATCCCAGTTGGTTTGAAAAAAAAATTCTCGAAGACTTACCTATAGGATGTAAACTAGCCGTACAATCTAAAGAAATTTGGAGAAAACCTCTTTAATCTGTAGAGTATTTAAAAGATTTTGATGTTCCGTCGCATCAAGTTTGACAAATTCAGGCCTGTTGGTTGTTAGCAAGAAATGTGTACAAACTGATAAGAGTGACCACAATACGCGAAAGCAAGAAATATCATGTTGGCACCCTGGCTCTTCGAAATTTTTTTAGGAGTCATTCCATGTCAAGTGGAACAAATTTCGGAATGTTGGGAACATACCCCCGTCAAAAAAATATGGTATTCTATAAGGTCTTAAACTAACAAATCCGAAATTTTACCTTTCTAGGTAAAAATCTTTTATGGTATATGGTCATTTGAAATTAGGGTGCTGAAATGGACCATAGATTCAGTAATTTTTTCAGGTTTTCATAATGTTTAAGACCTTATATAATCACGTATATTTTTCATAATGTTTTTGGAGGGGGGCATGTTCCCACCATTGGTCCAGTTGACCTTACTATAACGATAACTTTAGCTACGAAGACCCGGTACTAAATGATCAACAATAATAAATTAAATTTAAAATATCTGTTTGTATTAAAAGTAATATTCTGGTAAATACGATATTTAGTTCAGATGTGAATATCAGCCGGGTTGATATAGAAAACCCCCATTCCATTCATAATAAATTTACTGTCCATTAAACGATGATTGTAACGAACCATGTATTATGTGTTTATGGTTTCAGAGCCAGGTCAATATTACAAGCGAAATGAAACTTTAGCGCCTGATGTGATATCCAGAGATTATGATAGAATAAAAACGGTTCTAGATTCCATACCAGCCATGAAACCATACCTTCTTATAGGCCCAGATGTTGGGGCTATCAAAGCACTTGAACCGTAAGTTTTGAAATGCAGTTAACAACATACACAGGAAAATGATCGAAAGTTCTATGGGTGAAACACATCAAAGTGGTATACCGGGTGTACAATATTTTATCATCCAATAACACATTTTACAGTAGATATCGCTTGTGTGATATCTCCTTAGGATCCAGTAATATTGTTGGAGAAAAATTCTCAATTACCATTAACAATTACTGACAGTGACACTAATTAGTTTATTCAATCACGGGCACACCGGGTCAATAGATACGACCTTGCAATGGATCACTACGCAATAATTTAATCAGGGAGAAAGAAATGGGGTTTAATGTCCACTCGACACAAATCAGGCCATTTCGGGACTAACATATTATAAGATGGTTCAATTTTATTTCAATAATTCGTTTGCGCGTAGGGATATTAGCAGTGGGAGGAAACCGGAGGACCTCGAGAAAACCCACGAGACTGGGCAGGGAATCAAAACAACGCCAGTTGACTCAATGACAGACCTTATGATACAACGCGCACGCGCTAACTATTCGACTATCCAACCACCCGTAATGTAATCGGGTTTAGTAAAACTGAATCTATACCAAAGAGTTATATATTTATTTATTTGTGCGCGTAAGAAAGGGTTGGGTGATAAATAAAATCTCCTACTCGGCAAAGCCTCGGTTTTTGTTTACTCTATCGAATTGTGTTGATAATATTTGATATAAAAAAGACGAGTAAGAGATTCTCTATACATAATATCAAACTAACCCTTAACGCTCTGCGATTTGCCATACGAATGCTTAAAACAAAATGGTATGTGATATAGGTATTTTAAGAGCTACATACACAAAGTTTGTTGATATCCATATTATTATACTTATCCCGTTTATATTTCTAAGGATTATGAAAGCCGGAGCTTACCATTCATTAGATGTAATGACCTATCACCAGTAAGTACATACATATATGTATCCATAATAAATTGTGAAAATCAATTTCAATATTAAACAATGCCATCGATGATGTCTTGTAAATGTAGTTCACTGAAATATGTTTTTATTCGCGTTTCTGGACAATGTGAACCTACGCAAGGTAATAGGAATGAGCTATATATAGCAGATATACAACTGGCGGTAGGTTTTCCCGTGAAGTGCATATAGAAGTTATATCTATGTGAGCCTGTCATGACGTCATCATAGGTTGATGATCGAAATAATAGAAAGATCACAGAAATAAATATTTATGCTTTTGACAATTAAATTATTTTATTGTACAGTTTGTAGCATTCAGCACCGAAATAGACGGCGTACTTATCGGCATAGTTAAATTGGTTATCTATGTCCAAGATTATCTTTCAGAATTTTCTTTTCGTTCACATTTCCATTATTTCTTCACCATTCCAAGACTTGAAAGTGTTTATGGCCCAAGAGGTCCATTGTAAAGTATTTTGGGGTACAGTCCTCTTAAAGGAGCTAAATTGCTAACATTTGGGACCTAGAAATTGACACAAGTGGGTCGGAACTCATATAATACTGTAATATGAATGTATATAAACTGATATATACTATTCAAAAAAAGTAGGGGATATTTGATTTTGGGGGCATAATACTAAAATATGCAAATGACTACGAAAAAAGTCACTATAGAACCTAACAGAAGAAACATTTCCAGTTACATGTTACGCCCAAACGCACCAATAGCTACCGCATGGAATGCAGGTGATGCTTGGGATCATCATGGGGGTCCAACCCAAGATTTGCACGACTCTGACTTTGAATGTTACAGTCATTGTGGCATTGAATTCCAGGGTGGAAACATCAGTTTAATTGTTTTAGTGACCAGAAAACAAATTTTGATATGCGTCGGCTTACCCAAAATGAAAGGTTACGTGCCCTTGGCATGCTACAGATCGGCACAACACAGGCGGTTGTGGCGCGGACGATGAATGTTTCTCAGTCTGTCATAAGCAGGCTATGGTCCAGATACCGTGATACACAATCTGTACAGGACAGACCACGCTCAGGGCGACAACTCAAGCCCAGGATCGATTTATCCGTACCTTGGCCTTGAGAAATCGTGTCATCACAGCAAATCAGATCAGCGCTCGTCTTCAAACAGACACTGGTGTGAGAGTGAGTGGCCAGACGATTCGGAATCGACTGCATAGGGGTCACCTTCGCGCCCAACGTCCTCGCGTGATCCCTTGTTTGAGAGATCATCACATTCAGGCAAGACGTCGTTGGTGTAGGGATCGTCAACACTGGGATAATCGACGCTGGAGCAATGTGATGTTTTCAGACGAGTCAAGGTTCACTGTTGATTTTTTGGACAGACGTAGGAGGGTGTGGCGTCGTCGAAACGAGCGCTTCCAAGACGTTAACGTCATCAGACATGATCGATTTGGGGGTGGTTCTGTTATGGTGTGGGGAGGCATCACTGTTGCTGGAAGAACGGCTTTACATGTTGTTGCAGGGCGTGTTACAGGCCAGTACTACCGGGACAACATCTTGGCAGTCCATGTTGTGCCGTTCGCACGACGTCATGGCCGCCGTTTCATCTTCCAGGATGACAACGCAAGATGTCACAGGGCCAGGATCGTTACAGGTTACCTCCAACAACAGAACATCACCACATTACCTTGGCCAGCACTGAGTCCCGACCTCTCCCCCATCGAGCATGTCTGGGACATGCTTGGACAGAGGTTACGTCAACGTCAACAACGTCCTGCCAATGTCCAAGAACTTACTGCTGCGTTGCAACAGGAATGGGACAATCTGGACCAAAATGACCTTAGACGTCTCATTAGGAGTATGCCACGTCGGATCAATGCTTGTTTGGCAAACAGAGGAGGATTTACCCGTTACTGACTTGGTTGTGATGCTGTGGTAACTTTGCTGTTTGACCCCGGGTACCATTTTACCCTTATAATGATCAGTCTGTGCCTTACTTAGTCTAACGATCATTTGGAATAAATCGATGAATGTGAACTTCATTTCATTTTGTCATTTGTTTCTTCGTCAGTTTCATTAGGTGACTTTAATAACACTTAAAAATCAAATATCCCCTACTTTTTTGAATAGTATACATTCAATGGTTTCCGTTTTTACTCTAATTTCAAATCAGTTATGTTCCCCGAAATAAGCCAGCAGTCTCAATCGAATGCAAATTTCTAGCGCCTGGTTATTCCAGTATACATACGCCGTTTGGTTTGGTGCAATATGTCTAGCCTCGTTCCTCGAGTCTCTTGCTAGAACTGGGGCTGAAACGCATTATGTAAAATGTTTATTTTGTCTTAAATATTGGATATCAGAAGCCCATCTTTTTCCGGTAAGATCACAGCATCAATGTTGATTTAAATTGACAAATAATTTATGTTTTCAATGTTGAAGATTTTGGATGATATTGAGTTAGAGACTTAGTTACTTTAACACAGTCGGTCAAAGTCTTCTCTGAAGATAATGAAAACCTTCAAGGTTCACTGTCTGAGTTATCGGAAAAGATTGCCTTTTGATTCAAATTTTATTCCGCATTTTAATAGATCCTCGTCGCTAATCTAAGACTCCAAACATCATAGTTTTTTGTTTGCACAATTTTATTCAAATGCTATCAAACTAGTGTTTCATAGAAAGACTGAAGAATAACCAATCAAAGTAAAAAAGGTATTTTTTTTAAACAATCAAAAGTATACAAATAACTTAATTATCATTTCCATATAGAATCGTCTTTTGACGGAGTTGGTAGAGTGCTTAGATTTGTTTTCAGATCTAGATTATTAGAATGATCAACACAATATCCACAGTAAAATGTTTAAAGGAGGGGGGAGGGTGGTCCACAAGACCCCTTGTGTCCGATAATGTAATACTTTTGGTTTCGTGTCAAATGGAAAATAATACCACTGCTCACTCCCGTTCTATTTGCAGCTGTCAATGTATAAAATTCTCGCTAGACAATTATGAACCAGTTCCCCATAAATGTCAAGGATATGGTCGTGGGGTCCCGAAATACCCCTTATATCCGCACAAAGGTTAAAAGTATTACAGACTCGCTTGGAGTTCAATTGAAGGGTAGATTTGTGTCAGGATGTCATAACTCCAAGGTGGCTGAGATCAGTTCATGCCAGTACTCATTGTTTCCTCAACTTCGTTGACATTGTAATATTTCTCATTCAGATATTATGTACATGGCGACACCGCAAAAGTAGAAAATTTTTATAATATCCACGTCATTGAAAGTGTAAAGTTTGTCAGCCAGATGGCTTTAGATATAAGCCACAGAAATGGTGGGAAACCTGTCTGGTTAGGAGAAACATCTTCAGCTTCTGGCGGAGGGGCGAAAGGTATATCTGATAGATACGTAGCAGGATTTCTGTAAGTTCCTTTATTCATATTGAAGTCTTCAGTATCAATTAAGAATTAATATTGCGTATCTACGAAACGTCGCTTTAAATTAAAACTGTAACTGTGTTGCATTTTATGTTATAGTGTTTATTTGTTATAGTGTTTATTATTAACGTTGCGTAATATTCGAAAGATTAAATTCCTGTAGTCATGAAGAGATAACGGCAACGTTAAGCAATATTAATAATAGTTTATGTCAAAATATCGGACATTTACCGCTAAAGTGGCTATGTCCAGAAGAGATGCAAAGACCTTTTCCGCACCGTAGTATTATGTAAGAGTTTATCTTTGGTACAGTAAATAAAGTGTAATCGACTTAATTGTCGAGCTAATGCTACTCCTAAACGGTGAAGAATATCATTGAATGATAAGATTGGTCTGGGGATATACTGACTAAAGTGAGGCCTTACAAATGTGTATCAGTGCTTGCGAATGCTTTCAAAATGCCCTTGCGAACGACTACACAACGTTTGTGTTTCGAAATGCACATAAATCTCTTGGCAATATTTCTGCTTTGTCAATTATGTTTCTCTCACACAGAGGGGAATAGGCTTACGAATGCAATTTGCAACCAGTTCGCAATGGCCATAAAGTGATCGCCCGAGACACATAGGCGTCATTCATTGGCTTTTGCGAGTATTAGGAACATGTCTGGCAATCACTTTGTGGTCATTGAGAATTGTATGGGTAAGCATTCCGTGAAGACATTGGTATGACATAACCCTTTACATTCAAGATAGTGGGTAAATCAGTTAAGTAGGGTCCATCTTATTTAATATTTTTTTTATTGTAAAACATAATAAATATTTTAAAGGTGGTTAGATAAATTGGGCAAGTTGGCGACAATGGGAGTAAAAGGTGTATTTAGACAGGAATTGGCTGGTGGTATTTACACTTTGTTAGATACAGATTGGAGACCCAGGCCTGTATGTTAATATTTATTTAAGCCATGGAATAACACAAGCATAATCTGTTTAAAATGGGCGAAAGTATATTAATTGGTCAATAGATTGTAGATTAATTATTGTGGTTAATTTTCAATGGAAATGTCAAACACGGGATGGGACATTTTCCCAGAGTAATAAGGGTAGACTGATTCAGGCATCTCAACAGCAGCACTCGTAAGGAATTATTCAAATAAATCATATGAATAGAACTTCCTGGTACATACACATATTTAAAATAATTTAAAACTACTTTTTAGGATTATTGGTTAACTGTTTTATACAAAAGGTTAGTGGGTACTGTTGTCCTATCTCCACCAACACCACCACCATATTCTAGAGTATTTGTCCAGTGTACCAACAGAGCCAAGTAAGCATAATATATGAAAAATTGAAACAAAATTAGGTTAGCTATAAAATTCCACAAATAAGAAGTTGTCCGACCTACCTTTCCCAGAACAAAGATTGTTGTCTCGTGTTTTAGCGCCTGCTTAAAAAATACCATAAACTAAATCAAAGATTTAGCGTGAGACAAATTAACCGATCATTAATTATGCCTGATGATGTTCAATGGAAATCCAACTGTCTACATATCCGAAGTTTATTGATGATTTGTATATTTTACCCGAATTTTATAGGTGGAATAATTAATGTCTTTTGTTAAAACCCCATTGTTTTTTGCAGTACTTATGGCTACAACCCTGGAAGCGTGACGGTAATGGTTTTAAATCTTCGAGATACAAATATGAATTTCAAACTGGGTTCTATGGCGGATAAAATGGTAGAATTATATATGCTGACACCCGGATCTCAAGACGGTTTACTTTCCAAGTAGGTTTGTCATTTTTTGTGAAACGGTGACATTAAGACAACACAAACTAGGTCATTTCGGTACTGATATATTAAAGTAATCATAATCCTTGCCACTCTCATGTTTGCAACTCGAAACATCATTGATCTAAAGCGCTGTCTTATAGACCACCCAACCCCATTTATGTGTCTAGAATGTGATCTCGTTTTCTTAGTTTAAATTACATTTCATTTTTATATCTCAACAGAACAGTTAAACTAAATGGTAAAGAGTTATTTCTGGTAAACGATGAAAAGTTACCTCCTTTATTACCACGTAAACAGAAAGGAGATTGGATTGCTGTTGCAGCACATTCGTTTGGTTTTATTGTAATACCCGATGCGAACCACAGAGACTGCCTTTAATCTTTAAATAAAGGTTTACACCGTTTAAAGTTGGTATATTATTTAGTCGGTGCAAGCTTGTATAGCACTATTCACTATATTTGTACCATTTTGATGACAAAGATACCGCAGATAATATTTTCTGAAATGTTGACAGATTTAAAATTTGTTCAAGTGTCTTGATATGTCAGCTGCACTTTTTGCATTGTATATTGTCAATATGTGGATGCTTACTTCTCCGCCGGATCGCGTGAAAAATAATTTATAATCCACGTCAAAATCGATAGAGATTATCTTTACAAAATAAAGCGATTATTGATATGAAAGTGAAAGACAACATTTGTGAATCATACGTTTTTGGTACATACTCTTAATATTTGTAACACACAGGGAAATTAAAGAAAAGTGTCCCAGCCACATAGAGTCGGATCAGACTGAATAGAGTTTCATTGTAAATAAATTCTATTTCATGATTGACCAGCGGTTGCCAGGCAGGATACGCCCACATTTTGCAAGATATGGATAGAGTACAAGCTAAAAACAAAAACGATTTTTTTTTACAATCAGGGGCCATAATCCAGAAAGTTATGGTCTAAAATGTGCAAATATCAAAAGGGACTGAGATGTTTTAAATATGAAGATAAAGTTTCATCAAATCGGATAATAATTGTGACCTCTAGAGGGTCCATAACCTTTAAATTACATACTTATACACAATTTGCATACAAAGAGCGACCTTTTTGTCGGGCAGTTTCATTTCGAATTTCCCGAAAATCGAATTCAACCTTCATCATAGTGGAATGGTGATATATCTAAACGGTTTTAAAAATCGGAAAAAATCATTGGGACCTCTAGAGAATTCACAAGCTAAAAATGCGATTTTTCGACCAATCGGAGGCCATAATCCAGGAAGTTACGTTCTGATATGTGCGATTATTATCAGGAACCACGATCATAAAATTTATTATAAAAACATAAATTTAAAGTTCCATCCAAATCGGATAAAAACTGTATCCTCTAGAGGGCCCACAACCTTGATATACCATATTTTTTTTTACAATATTTGCGTAGAAGGGGCGGTCATTTTGTCTGACAGTTTTAGGTCGATTTTCACGAAATTCAAACTCGACCATCATTAGGGTGTAACGGTGATATACTAAAACGTTTTTTTTTTTTTAAATCGGATACAAATTGTGACCTCTAGTGGGACTACAAGCTAAAAGCGCGAATTTTCGTACAATCAGGAGCCATAATCCATGAAGGTATGGTCCAATACATGCCAACATAAAAAGGAACCGAGATCTTTGGGAGATAGACCTATATTTCAAGTTTCGTCAAAATTGGATAAAAATTGTGACCAGTAGAGTGTCCACAAACAAATTGTGGACGGGCGGGCGGCAATTTCATGTGGACGGGCGGGCGGCAATTTCATGTGGACGTATTCAAAAGAATTTCATCGAAGCTTAAAACGTGATTTTTCATACAATCAGGGGCCATAATCCATGAAGTTATGGTCCAATACATGCCAACATCAATATTAACCGGGATCTTTGGGATCTCGTCAAAATCGGATAAAAATTGTGACCAGTAGAGTGTCCACAAAGAAATTGTGGATGGACGGGCAGAGGTGACGGCAATAAACGTCCATGTGAAAATGTGGGCATATACAAAAGAATTTTATAGAAGTTATTTATGAACAAAACAGTTTGTGTCATTGTTTTGAAACATTGGACAATATCTTCAGTTTAAATATAGATAAAACAACTTGACAACTTGCCGATAACAATACAGGTAACAAACCTATTTGACCGCATGATAACACGCACCCATGTCCCAACGCAAACCCCTCTTTAATCTCCTTGTTTGACTTCGAAATCCCACGTAGTTTCCACGGTCAACGATGTTCATAGAAACAAGCCAACAGTGAGGCTGATGTCCCCCGCCGAAATCCCAAAATAAATAGATGACAAATATTAATTAATTAGCTTTAGCTTGAAATGTTAATCATTCACCTAATGAACATCTACATCAGGTTTAAACATTCTACCTCAATTAAAAGCAGAGTTTTTATGTTCCAAAGTCTCGACCAATCAAATTGCTTATCGCTCCGCTTACCCTGAGCAGAAAATGCTCATTATCGAACTTAGTCAATGTATTGATGTAATAAAACTATACACCAAATTTCATCACTCTCACTTAATTAGAACTAAAGTTATCATGTCCCAACCCCCCAACCAATCAACGTGCTTATCTCTGCTTACCCTAAGCAGAAAATGCTCATCTTCAAACTCCATCGAGGCATTGACCTAATAAACACCTACACCAAGTTTGAACTTCATAGCTCAATTAGAAGGAGAGTTATTGTGTTCCAAAGTCTCAGTCAATAAAATTGCTTATCACTCTGCTTACCCTGAGCAGAAAATGCTCATTATCGAACTTAGTCAAGGTATTGATGTAATGAAACAATACACCAAGACGTTTCATCACTCTCACATAATTAGAACTAAAGTTATCGTGTCCAATGCTCATCATCAAACTCCATCAAGGTATTCACCTAATGAATAACCTAATGAATGCCTACACCAAGTTTAAACATTCTACCTCAATTAGAATGAGAGTTATTGTGTTCCAAAGTCTCGACCAATCAAATTGCTTATCGCTCTGCTTACCCCGAGCACAACTAAACACTGTCACCAAGTTTCATCACTCTCACTAAATCAGAACTAAAGTTATCGTATCCCAAAGCATCAACCAACCAAATTGCTTATCTCTGCTTACCCTAAGCAGAAAATATTCATCTTCGATCTCCATCTAGGCATTGACCTAATAAACACCTGCACCAAGTTTGAACATTCTAGCTCAATTTGAAAGAGTTATTGTTTCGGACAGACGGACGAGCTCATTTTAATAGTCCCCTGCTTTCTTCAAAAGGCGGGGGACAAAATTATAAAATCTGAAATACTATGCATCAACCTAGGAATTTGACTCACATGTGTAAAGCCGTGTAACTAAGAAACATTGCAACAGAACAGATCTGTAACCAAAACACTAGCCAGATAAGCTTAAATACACGTGGATCTACTACTGGTCGCCAATTGGTGACGAAGACGCAGACATACATGTACGTTTTATTGAAGAACAATTAAACCTACACCATAGTACTGACGATGATGATTGCATGGGTGTTAATTACATTAGCTTTATCTGGTGAGTTCTGTGGGTATTTTTGTGACATGGTTAGGACAAACATCCTATCTAGTACCAACATGTGTTGATGTCCACTATAACGTCTGTATTATTTCAGGTTGTCTTGTTGATGGACAGATTGATGTCAACCACTGTACAGATTTTGCGACCAACATAGCTAAATGTCGATCAGAGTACTATCCTAGTTTGGTACTCAACACATATGAACAACTACAGGGTTTATTTACGAGAAGCACAAATGATTTTTGCGGGTAGGTCTTGAAATTATATATTGTATAATTCTGTGGGTAACCCCATAAATATTAATCGTCAATAAAATTAGATTTAAAACTCAGATATTAATGTATTTATCCCTATCAAGTTCATAATTAAATGCATTGAAAACTACTTTAGCCATAGTGGGCAGTATCCTATTTGTGGAACGGGATTAAGAATGAGAAAATTTTATGGAAAATCTGTTGTAATGAAGGTGCAAATGGTATTGTCAGAATCAGAACTTGAAATTACAACCATTAAATAGGGTTTAAAAAATATAAGCAAAAGTCTATGAGAAGTCTAAATAAATAAAAATAAATAAAATATAAAGCTATTAGAAAAATCTACATAAATAGATAAAAATCAGTTATTTCAAAGCAATATGGTTTTGGTTGTCTGGCACAGGTGCCTTTATGTAAAAACAAATCAAGGTATTAACCCGTATCAACCATGAAATGCTGTCAAGGTAACAATTTTGTGATTTAATTGCGATGTGTTTTCACATTAAATGTGTATTAGTGTAACAAGTTATAATTGTATGAAATTTGACCACTATAAGCTTCCCTTTCCATGTATTCTACACCATCATTACTAACCCGCGCTACCCTTTTCTTTTTCGTATCTGAATGCCAGTGCATAGAGAACTCCCGGAATACAGTAAAATAAATACATCGATGGTCGAGATAGCTAACCCTGATATGGTTTTATCACTATTCAATGTGCAATGAATTTTCTGTTAGTTGTCACCGTTTCGGTGTTCATGGTTGCGTTGGTGGTTGAATTGACTACACTTTCATCTATAATATTTATAACTGGACTAGGGAAATAAATCTAGCTAACAAAATGTAATGTTGTATGCTCACTTGTTGAGTTTCCAATGGTTAATAATATCGTCCATATTGTATCATTTGTTGTCAAGTTGAAGTCAAATCTGGACTGAACTGATTTGACATTTCCAACTCTTCCTTTGATCCATTTTACCAAAACAATTATCATTGCTTTAACTACCAGTACTACATCTGGGTTGCCATCACAACCATTTTCTGTCCAACTGGCAGTTTTCTGTTAATAGATTGTTGGAATATGTATGTACCAGCCGTAGATTCCTGCATATTCCAGCGATATCCGGTTGATAACGAAATATATTAACGTCTGCTGCCCCCAAGTTCGCGTTGGGGCAGGGATAATTCTCCTATTCAAATTCTTCATTTTAGTAAAAGTTACATTATTAACATCAAATATACACTGGAGCCTCATCGTCTTCCTTTCACCGACCGAATCTCATATTCAGCAGCTGATATTCTGGAAATGGTAACGCTAAGAAACCTAATAATCCGATTAAAATAATAGTACGCTGATGACGAAAAGGCGGGGGGTGGGTGTCTTATCAGGGGTTCTATCCGAGTCACGGGAACTGTTTCCGAACTACTGTACATAAAACCGGGAAAAAATTTTCTTCTTATTTAATGTCTTGATTGTACTTCCTAAATCTGATTCTGACACTTCACCCAGGCCCATGTTATGAAATTCTTTATGACTCGAGGAGAAATGGTTTATCTTGGTCATGCAAATATGCACCTTTGGATAT